GTGAGACAGGACAAAGCTGAACAGAGCAGCTCAGGGCTGCCCTGCATTTGGAATAACGGGCAAGCCCCCCTCATCCCTGGCCTGCGAGTCCTGGCAGGCCTGGCCCCAGGGATATTTCCGTCTGCTGTTTCCTGCACCCCTGGGGGCCCTGACCAACTGTCCTGCCAAGGGAAGTCCCTGACCCCAAGCCACCATTTCTATTTTCCTAACACTCGTCCCGTCTGGGACTCTGACGTGCCTCCTTACAGGACCGGAAGCTCACTAAGCATCAGAATCAGGTCTGCCCTGTGCCTGCCAGGTGCCCAGGGACACGAGGCCAGGCACTCGCGGGGACTCAGTAAATACTGAAGGAACACATGACCATTCGAAGCCATCCCGCAACCGGGAATGAGGGCAGTTTCTCTGGTTCCGCGGCGTGAGTGAACGGAACAAAGCCCGACACCACCTTCCTCTCCCCCACCCCCCCAGTTTCAGCTTCCCTTCAGACCCTCTGCACCTTCGGGACCACAAAGCCCTCCCACTGCCAGGCCGGTGAGAGGAAATCTGAGGAGTAGAGAATTACTGCACTGACACTCCCATCCGTCCGAGGGCAGCAGAGCCCACGGGGTAACCCCTCTATTCACCCAGGCCCCGACACAGGCTGGCTAAAGCTGGGGCAGGTTGAGGGGCATTGGGAATGCCTGTCTCAGAAAGGGAGGGAGAAGAGGAAGAAGGAAAGAAAACTTTTTAAGAATTCCATTCATGGTTCCTTTTTTTTTTTTTTAGAATTATTAATTTTATTTATTCATTTATTAATTTTAATTTGGCCAGAGAGAGAAAGTGAGAAAGCAAGCCACCAAGTCCGGGACTCCAACCGTCGCCATCTTCGTGAGAGTATCCAACACCTTAACTACCATGCCACCTGCTGGTCCCTTCGCGGTTCCTTTTTAAGCAAGAAGACTGCATAGCGGATGGGGAAGGGCGGCCAGGTGACAGCGTGCTTGTGCCCTCTCTACGCGTGCTAAGGGCCACCAGAAGGCCCGGTGGTGCCACGTATCCCCTCAGTGACCACAGCCGGAAGCACTGCTCTCACCGTGGCCCTTGCCCCTCCGCTCCCTGCTCTTCTCCCCCAGGGTGGAGCTTCTCTCACATCCTCAGACCTGGCACCAGGGAGCTGGGAGGGGTGCAGAAGATGGAACAAAACGCCCTTCACCTCGGGCTATGGGGCCTCTAGTTAGGGCACTGATCCGTGATTAGGCCCAAGTGGAGAACAGGCTCACCATGAGGTTCAGAGGGTGCGGGCGGGGGGAGGGGGGGTGCGGAGGGGCAGGGCTTTCCTCTTCAGTGAGACCCGAGAGCGGAGAGCGATAGCAACCAGCCCTTCGGGTGTGCGGAGTGCCGGCTCCTTGCGCAGCGGGACCAGAGCTCTCGGGCTGTGGAGGGCAGTGTGATGGGTTGGAAGAGGACCTTGGGCTCCCTGAGCTGCAGCTTGATTAAGCCGTCAAATACCTCCCCTGCACACTGGCCCTTTCAGCTCAAGCCTCTGGCCTTTGCTGTGCAGTCGAGGCAATAATCACTTTTTTTTTTTTTTTGGAGAGGTTTTTGCTATAGGGCAGGTACACTTGCCAGAAAGACAGAGAGAGACAGAGAGACAGAAAGCGAGAAATCACTCCCCAGGGTGAGCCCTTCCCTCCATTCTCCTCTCAGGATCTTGGGCATGCACACACGCGTGCCCAGCGTGAGTTTAAGACACCAGGTCCAGGATTCAAACCGCAGTCGACTACATGGGAGTCCAGCGACATAGCCATTACGCTAAGTGCTGGTCCCATAATCACTGTGTTTTGATAAAGGCACGTAGGCTGCAGGAACGCACACTGCACAAAGCATTCTTTGGTTAAAAAAAATCACACGATGAAAGGGAAAACTGTTTAAACTCAGAAACTAAAAAGGAAGCAGTTGGCTCCAGTTGTTGAAATGTTTTATAAAGCAAGAGCAAAATGAAAAAAAATAATAAATAAACTATCCCAGAGAACTGAGAGAGGCCAAAAATATACACGGGAACACGGCGAACCTCGCGCCCGCGGGAGACAGTCTCGGTTTCCCACGTAGCCTCAGCAAGGGCGGCGGTTCTGCCCCCCCCAGCTCTTCCTGTTTGAAAGCTAGACTGAATAACAATTTTGTCCAAAAAGGAAAAAGCATTAGATGAAGAAATTGCAGCTACCAGAGGATCATGAATTTCTTCTTTCAAACATCAATGGAAGGGATTTCAACCTCCAGAGCCGGGAAAAAATACAGAGACGATATAAAACAAAGAAAAAGCAAACCACCAGAGCTCAAAAATAAAACAGTATTCCACGTCCACGAATGGATGAACTGGCCGAGCACGGCACCAGTGAGGAAACTGACTGATGGGCTGGCCAGATCAGAAACAAGACACTCGAGCTAAATTTGAATTTCAGACTGGGCCGGCCCCGTGACTTAGGAGTTGAGAGAACCGAATCCCACACAGCCGAACATGGTGTGAACCCCATCCCCAGCAGCTTGAAAAACACGCTGAGCACGTGTGCGTGCATGCTCTAAGTCTCACTAGGATAGAGAGCTGGAGGAGAAAGAGTCGCAGCGTGACCTTCGTGTGGAAGTGCATGGCGAGGGCTTCTTGGGGCTCTGCTGATGAAGGGCTGGTGACACACATCCTGTCTGGACAGAGCAGGCCAGGGGTCTGCTCCTTATTGGTTGAGACAAGGTGACGAGGAAGGAGTCAGCAGGAGAACCAAGGAGGCGTCTGTGCTCTCTACGCCCCTGTCCTCTGTCAGCTTTGGCTGCCTGCTCAGACCTCCGGGGAGAGCTCTCCAGGCAGACTGCCTTCCGCAGGTGGCACCTCCACAAAGGTGGACCTGAGCTTCTCCCAGTTCCTTTACTGCTTAGATTCACAGCCGAGCTTCAACCAGGACTCTCGTCTAGAGAGGAAGCCCCTCCCTTGCCAGATCGTGACCAAGTGTCGCCTCCTCAGAGAGACTTTCCCCAACCACCCATTTAAAATAATGCCCTGGCCCCCGCATCCCTGGCCTTGCGGTCATGGTGGCCCCACACCCTGATGGAACCCTGTAGCAGCAGGGTGTCTCCCAGGCTCTGCTGCATGTGCTTGCTCACAAGCTCCATCCTCAGTTATCCAGGACAAGGACGTGTCAGCTCCAGGGCCGCAGGGGCCAGTGGCTCCGGCTCCCTCCTGCTCCTCCAGGGCTAACTGGCACCAGACAGGAGGGCTCAATAAACACCTGAGAACAGAGGCGCCCCGCCCTGTGTCTGACACACATGGGCACCCAGTAAATAGCGTGTTTCTAGCTGAGTATCATTTTAACAGAACTGCCTTAGAAGCTTCTAAGACAGAAGAATTTGTCTTCTGGGGTTAGCCGGTGGCATGGTGGTTAAAGTGGCTGGATCCCACATGGCCGATTGCAGTTTGAGTCCCAGACCGGGTAGCTTGAAAAACACAACAGGTGTGCATACTTGCATGTCCAAAAGCCCAAGAGGAGAAGGAAGGAGAGAGGACCGCAGCATGACCATTCCCCTGGGGGTTGAGTTCTCACTTTCTTCCTCATGAGCACACATGCCCTAAACCCAAACTAAAAAAAAAATTGAAATAAAAAAGTAAAGCTTCCTCAGGAGAAGCTTTTAAAGGGAGGTGGGGTAGGTGGACGTCTGTCTTCTGTCTTAGAAGACAGAGGGAAACAGAATCTGCCTCCCTGCGATGGGCCTTCCTCCCTCCCTCCCTAGCATTCACTAATGCATCCCAAATTTCTTCTTCCCTGTTGTAGGAATCATGACCTCTGAAAAAAGGCCAAAAAGAATCTCCCCACCCCCAGCTGTCCGCACTTGGGGTCTGCTAGCCATGGCCGGGTGTCTATGGCCGCCATTCACCCACTCAGCTCCAGTTTCGGCCCCTGCCTGCCCCTGGCAATCTGAGTGGGCAGGAGGACCCCGGTCCTGGGCCTCGGCCAGGCATTGCCAACCGCCAAGAGCACCATGCCCTTTGGGGGCAAGAACATCGTCATGGAAGAAGGCACGCCAGCCGCCTCCCGCCCCCAGCACTGCCTGGAAGTATGATCTGTTAGCCAGGAGGAGGCCGGGGGTTGCGGGAAGACTGTCAGACACCCCACTGGGGTGAGGCTCAGCCTCTCAAAGCCGCGCCTTGCTGATCACCCCAAGATGGCTGTGGACAGTGGAGGCATCTCGCCTCCACTCTGTCAGCCCTGGGAGCCTGGGGACACCTGTGTGTCTCATGGCTGCCGGCCAGATAGAGGGGGCAGAGGTCAAAGAGTCACTGCTGGCACTGACTGAGCGCCAGCAACAGTGTGGTGAAGGCGGACAGCGGGAGAGGAGAGGCTGGGTTCCGGGGTCTCCGTGGCTGTGGAGTATCTGCCCCCGGGAAATTCACGCAGATGCTCTCTGAACAGCACTGCAGCAGCTTTCATGGTGGCACCTCGGTGGTGGCAAACACCCGGAAGCCACGCCCAACGGCAGCAGAATGGAGCGCGGCTCCCGGCTGGGGCAGGAGGGACCTCTCCAACGCAGGGCGGGGTGCAGGGGCCCAGGCACATGTGGAAGGGGAGCCCAGGACGCTTCCGCCCACACACAGCTCAGATAGTGGAAAGCGAATCTCCGGGAGAGCCGTCCACAAGGGCCAGAGCGGGAGTGGGCTCAGGGTGGCCACAGCTGTCTAGTTCATAGTGGGCGGGAGGCGTTGCTCTCTTTGACACGGGTCATTAAGCTTTGGACACAGGATTGTCTACACTGGTAGGTGTGCAGCCTTCCATGACAGATTTAACTTTTCAAAGAGGGCGGAGGTGTTTGCTCTTGAGGGGAGCAGGTGGGCAGGGAAGTGGGCAAAGGGCTCCCGGGGAAGGGCAGGCTGGCAGCAAGCCCTGGATGGAGGCGGAGGCTCCGCAGCCCCACCCCCCAGGTGTGCCTCAGCTGCCTCCGCCTCTCGCGTCCCGCGTTGCCCGGCAACCAGTCTCCAGGCAACGCCAGGCAACGCCAGACATGGCGCAGAAACCGCTCAGTACCGCGGCTGCCGAGCGCATGAACCTTGTGGCCCAGGATGAAATCTGGTAACGGCGTGGGATCCGGTGGCCCCGTGGGCTGGGCCGGTCCACCTGAGGTGTGCTCACCTGGTGGTCTGTTGCCCACCCAGTCCAGCAGGTGGTGGGCCTCTGGACCCCAGGGCATGTGCTGAGATATTCAGGGGCCTTGAGGAAAGGGGACAGTGTTAGGGATGTCAAGGCCACCAGGGAGCCTCTCTCCCTCTTTCCTTTCCTTTTCTTTTCTTTTTTTTTTTTTTTGGAGAGGTTTTTGCTTTAAGGACGCGTGCGCT